AAAAAAAGAGCAAAAGTAACGACGTTTGCAACTATTGCAAATTAAAAGGCCATTGGGTTAAAAATTGTCAAAAGTGGATAGCCGACGGAAGACCGTCTAGAAGTAGAGTCACTGATAATACTAGTAATGTAGCAGATGCAACCGTGGCTCTAATATCCGTATGTGACGAGATACATTTGGCTGAATCAGATTCAAATGAGTGGTGGGTTGATAATGGTGCAACAAAACACGTAACAAATTGTTCAGGGAATTTCGTTAGTTATGAACAATTTGAGTATCCCCATAGCATACAGGCTGCTGGAAAAGAGTGTTTAAATGCTTTTGGAAGAGGTACCATTAGATTTTTATCTACTGTAGGTAAATGTAATCAAGAAATTACCCTAAATGATGTATGGTACGTTCCAAAAATTTCTAAGAACTTATTCTCGGTGTTGGCTGCACAAGAAAAAAATCACAATAGCGTATTTCAGTCGACTACAACCAAATGCTGGCTTGAAGTTGGTGGGAAAATAGTGTTGTCTGGAACTAGAGAAATAGGTGGAACCCTCTACAATGCTAATATAAAAGTTATAGAACCAGATGTTAAAGCTGAAGTTAATGCAGCAGTTCCCAATAGCCAGTTGTTACAGCTTTTTCATGAAAGATGGGGACACCAAGACAAACGCCACGTTAAAATGATGCTTGAAAAAGAGTTTGGCATAAAATTAAAGCAAACTAGCGAATTGTGTGAGCCATGTGTGTACGGAAAAGCTCATCGTCATCCATTTGGCACAAGAAAGGCAGCTACCAAACCTGGTCAATTAATATCATCTGATGTATGTGGTCCTTTTGAAGAGTCTTTCCAGAAAAAACAGTATGTAGTATTATTTAAAGATAACTACACTAAATTTCGATATGGCTACTTCATTAAACATAAATCAGAAGTCAAAGATGCCTTAACCCATATGATTGTACATGCTAAGACATTAGGACATACGATTCAGGAATTTTTAAGCGACAACGGTGGTGAATTTGACAATAAGCAGGTTAGAGATATTTTGTCCTCAAACGGTATTACTCAAAAACTCACAGCACCTTACACTCCAGAACAGAACGGGGGAAGTGAGAGAGAAAACCGAACCGTCATTGAAATGGCTAGAACCTTGAAGTATACGAACCCAGAAGTCAAATTTCCGGAAAGCATTTGGGCTGAATTAGTAAATACTGCTATCTATATTTTGAATCGTACAGCCAAGTCGACAATCGAAGGATTAAGTCCATATGAGTTATGGATAGGACACAAGCCTAGAATAAAGCATCTAAGAATTATCGGCTCAAGTTGCTATGTCCATATTCCATGTCAAAAAAGAAAGAAAATGGATAAAAAAGCTACCAAGGGATACCTTCTAGGGTATGATGGAGACGAAAGATATAGAGTTTGGGTAAAAGAAACTCAAAAGGTTGTTCTGTCTCGAGATGTACAATTTGAAGAGAAACCAGAAGAATGTCCCAGGATAGAATTTGAAAAGAACCCAGAAGAAGAAGAAAAATCCGCAGAGTATATAAAATTGTCATTAAGAGATTTTCAAAAGGAAAATACCCAGAAAGAAAGCTGTCAAGACAATGAAGAAGAATATCAAGAAAATCAAGAGAATTTAGGATATGAAGCAGATCTAAAAGAAAGTGTTGACAAAGAAGAAGACTATTATGAAGATATGCCAACATCTTCAAGACCTAATCTAAGAGATAGATCAACGTTAAGAAGTCCAGATTTTTTCGGAGAGAGAGTCTTAATTATAGAGGATTTTGTTAATACAATTAAAACTCCCGAAACCTATGAAGAAGCAGTCAACAGTCGCCAAAGCTCTCAGTGGAAAGAAGCTATGAAGAGTGAGTTGACGTCTTTAAAAGAAAACCAAACATGGCAGCTAACATTCTTACCAGAAGGAGCGAAGGCTTTACCATGTAGATGGGTTTTTAAAGTTAAGTCTAATCCAGATGGTAGCGTAGATAAATTTAAGGCCAGATTAGTTATTAAGGGTTTTAATCAGAGACAAGGTATTGACTATAACCAGACATTTAGTCCGGTAGCTAGACTGGGCACAATTAGAACAATTTTAAGTATTGCAGCTAGTGAAAGAATGCATCTAGCTCAGTTTGATGTATCCACAGCATTTTTATACGGGGAGCTTGAGGAAACAATTTACATGAACCAGCCGAGAGGTTACACTGATAGTACCAATAGAGTTTGTAAACTTAACAGGAGCCTTTACGGACTAAAGCAAGCTCCAAGGTGTTGGAACAGACGTTTTGGGGGTTTTCTGAAAAAACTGGGCTTTATAGTAAGTGAAGCCGACCCTTGCCTTTACTTGAGAGAAAAAGAAGGCAGAAAACTCTTATTGGCATTGTACGTGGATGATGGTCTAACTGCGGCAACTGATTTGTGTGATCTAGAGGATTTTCTGGCTGAGCTCCAAACAGAATTTAAGATAACCACAAAATCTGCAGAGTACTTTTTAGGAATAGAAATTAAGAAAATTCATGATGGTTTTATTAAAATTAGTCAAAAAGCACATGCTAGAAGAATTTTAGAACGTTTTAACTTTTTAGATTGTAAACCAATTTCGACTCCTATTCTAAAAGCTTCAGAATCTACAAAAACAGGGAAAGAGTCTGAGAAACAGCATAACTTTCCATACAGGCAGGCGGTAGGAGCGTTAATGTATTTAATGCTGGGTACCAGACCCGATATAGCATACGCTGTAAGCTTTTTATCCAGAAATTTAGAAAATCCATCCTCAGAAGACGTAGTAAGGGTCAAGAGAGTATTTAGGTACTTAGCAGGTACTCTTGACCTTGGTATAGTATATTCGTCGGATGTAAATAAAAGAGTTTTAGAATGCTACAGTGATGCAGATTTTGGAGGATGTACAAAAACAGGTAGATCAACTACTGGAGTGGTTGTAACTTATGCAGGAGGTGCTATTTCATGGCTAAGTCAAAGGCAGGCAATGGTAGCTACATCCACCACAGAAGCGGAGATTGTCGCAGCTAGCGAAGCAACGAAGGAGGTGATTTGGTTAAGCACATTATTTAAGCAAATTGTAAAACTTAACGACAATCCTATCCTTCGGGTTGATAACTCTGCAGCAGTAAAACTAGCTCAAAATCCTGAGTTTCATCGACGAACGAAGCATATAGCTACGAAACATTTCTTTGTTCGAGAAAAAGTCAATGAAGGTATATTGGAAATTGAGCAAATTTCAACAGAACTGCAAGTGGCTGATATAATGACTAAGGCTCTTCAAAGACAACGTATACAGATTCTGTCTACGAAAATGGGTTTAACTTTAATTAACAAGGGAAAGTGTTGAAGGTATCAGTCTAATATGTTAAATAAAGTTAGCACTTAGTCACTATCAGTTAGGTAGTTTTATATTAGATAAGTTGATGTTTGTTTTTACTGTTGTCAATTTTTGATAGTCATATTGTATTATTCTGTCCCTTCATATTTTAATAAAATCTTTTTGAACACACTTACTGACGAGCCTTATTTCCACTGGAAATATCTACCGCAACAAAGACGAGTAGCAAACTTTTTGTAACATTTAACTATAAATTGTATTTATTTACCTTGCAAAACTGTGACTCTTTTCGTAGATTCTGAATGGGGAAATACTGTTGGGAATGCATTTGCAAATATTCGTTTTCTTGTTCCTGACTGATTAACGACTTTATCCTGGAAGTGTAGTTCACAAATTTTGTAATTTTTACTTAAGTGTTCAACACCCTTTCCCAATAAGTTCTCTCTATTTGCGGCCTTAAGCCACAATTCAAGTCTGAAAAATACATACAATCATTGTACTACCATGTTATGGCAAGGTCAATTCCTATTTTACCCTCAAGATTTCATACCTACCTCACGGGATCTTTCACAAGAGTGAACAATCCTTCTTTGCCACCTGTTCTTGAGGTACATCCTCGATAAATACAAGTACCTATATCCTCCTCCGCTTTGATGCGGCATTGTTTATAAACCTAATCTTTGTAATACGTACAATAAAGTCTTAAATTAACAACTCCATAATTAAAAACATCAACAAAAACTAAAAATAAATCACTTACAAAACGTAAAAGTTATCAGAATATTCGCTAAATACAACCAAAAATCCAAAACGACAAATAAAGACACGACAGGAAAAAAAATTTCATTTTCTAACAGCGACAGCAGTGACAGCTTCGTTCATCTGCTATAAAAGTGTGCACTGTTCCACTTCGAACAAGTAACAAATCTACGGTTCAATTTTGACAATGCTCCACCATGAAGAAGGTGTGGCTTCGGTTGCTACGTTCCTGTTTTAGCCCTATGTTTCTTTTCTGTATTGTTCTATATCCTGTGATATTTTTTACTTTATACATAATTGTCATACTTTTGCTAAAAATATATTTATACATGCTCTAATTGTATTATATATTTCTGATGGGACCAATACATTAAAAGTTCCCACAGTTACTTCTTTTTTGTTTTCTTTATCGGTTATAATCGGGTTAGATTTAGCCCAAAACACTGAGCCTCTTGGACCTACTGTATTCCCTTGTATTACCTGTATTCAGGTACTATCTTTAAATAGTCCTGCGTTGTTGTTTAGTTTTTTATGTTTCCAATCAAGTGTTCCTGAGGCGTTATTTTCTATTCTACACCGAAAATGGTGAGTCATCGCCTAGTAAGAGCTTCGCATTCGAAGATAACATAGTATGATTTTTCTTCTTCTTCCAAGCAGAGCCTACACATGGTGAGATCATTATTTTATCACATGAAGGTGTTTCAGCAAGTAGTAGTAGTAAACACGATGGTAAATATCTGCGGCCTTTCGAGCTGTAGTACTTTAGCAGTTATGGGTGGGTCTGGCTATATTACTTTATTTTATTATTTGGTCTTTGTACAAAAAAAACAAGTGAAAGTAAAAAGCAGACTATCTCTTTATTGTAAACTATTTATATACATCTAATGCATTTTTAAGGGTACATGGAAACAAATTAAATTATACAAGAAAGTAGATCCAAAATTTCATCATGAAAAAGTGCTTTTGAATTTCTTTAGAAACCTTATAGCTACTGCATCTAACAAGGAAGGTTATTGGGCCATTGATGATGTTAGACAATGTCATAATGAAGGTATTTGGTTTCCACACTCCACTTTTTATTTTTTTTGCTTTAAAAATATAATTTATTTGTTTTTCTCATACCTAGTTATAAAAGTTATACGAATATTATCTTTCTAATTCTTTATCAAACACATTTTTTTTTATTTTGTTTTGATTTTACCTTAAGTTTATTATTAACAACGAATACACAGAATCTTGTCCAAAATTTTTAATTAATGATAAAACTTATTTATTTTTTTTAGAATTTAGATATCTAAAAAATTCAGATGGATATGAAGAATGTCAATTAATTTCGTTGAAAAGTCAGAAAACCATAAATCTACCGACATCATCCAGCAAAACTTCAATAGATGGTAAACATTTTTATTAACGAAATGTTAATAATTTGAAATCATTTAACAACCACCATTAGCTTATTTTACGAAAAATGGAGTAGCTAACTAACCTTAGGCGCCATGGTGCACTTGTAGGTTGTAAGTAAGGCATAACTGTCGATGATACAAAATTGTATGCACTTCCTGCGCACCGGTACGAAAAAAGGAGCAATTGCAAATTCTATATACGAGTATAAAAAAATAATTTTTTGTTTTATTTGATGTTTTATGGTTATAACAACTTAAACAAACAAAAGAATAACAGTAAGTAAGTAATTTCTAACAATCAACCGTTTATTTGAAAAGAATAACTCATTTGTTACATTTTAAAAAATTACTACAAGAAAAAACGAAATGGCGTTGTGCTAAAGTGACTTTAAATTAGTGAACACTCAAAAGTATTACTAGCAAAAACTAAAGAGGCGCATTCTTAATTATTATTGCTTACATTTTCCTTGGCACGCCTAAAATTAAATAGCAAATGTCTTCTTGAGGAATAAGGTCCTAGTCCTCTAAAAAGGTTGTTGTAATTGATTCTAGATTAAAGGAGCAGGAACACGACTTCGTAGTCTTTGTCCAAGCATATTGCAAACATGTTTAATTGGGTTAGCATCCGCACTTAATGCTAGTCACTCCAAGATAGGAATATCTACGTCATTCTTGCGGTGTGGGGCCTAGCATTATCAATAAGACGTGCCGATTTTTTTTTTTTTTTTTAATTTCAAATGTGGCTAGCGTGAAAAAGTTGTGACTTGGGGCCCCTTTTATTACATTTTTTTTTAATTTTTAAAGTCATATTCAGCCGGGCCCTTGAGGGCTCAAAATTTGGAGATAATAATTTAAAAACAAAAAACGTGGATAGTAATAAAAAGTTAACTAGTCATCTCCTTATCATACAAAAAATGTTCACAGCCCCTTTAATAAAGTATAATTTAAATTATTACTTCTTATTTGTCTACATTTAAGAAGATACCACATTTTTAGCGACAAAGTAAGATAAATTAAAAATCTGATGTGTCCAACACATGACTTTCCTATCTAGTTATTATAGGCATTTTCCGGTTATTTTGTACAACCTATTGCAGCATCTCTATAAATGTTTAGAGGATACATCTACCTCGAAACATTTTTCTATAGATATTCATTGAAAACGAAAATACAGAAAAATTTTAATTTAGCACTTTTTCATTACGGTCCATTTTAGAAAAATCATGTTTAAACAAAAATTATAGAAATCGATATCGCAAACAACTTTTAGTTCAACAATTTTCATAAAAATCAGAATTTTGCACATTTTGTCAAATTTCTCGAATACGGACCATTTCAGGAAATTTTGACATAAAGCAAAAATTATAGATAATAATATTAGAAGTAACTTTTATTTGAACAATTTTCTTCTCCTAACATAAATAACAGATATATTCCATAAAATATAAAAACGGCCTCCCATAAAGTACCCCCCCAGATGTTCCGACTTTGTCCAAAATCTAATCATTTCACGTCAGGCCGAAATAAACCTTAAGTTTAAAATTTAATGTTTTTTCCTTTATCCGTTTTTGAGTTTTCTTCAAATTTCGAAATTTACACATTTTCTCAAATATTTCGAATACGGTTAATTTTAGAGAAATTATGTATAGGACAAAAATTATAGAGAATTATAATACAAACAACTTTTATTTGAACAATTTTTATAAAAAATTATGTTTTTTACATTTTGTCAAATTTCTCGAATACGGACCATTTAAGGAAAATTTTGCATAAGACAAAAATTATAGATAATTATATTAGAAGTAAGTTTTATTTGAAGAATTTTCTTCTCCAAACGTAAATAACAGATATATTTCATAAAATATAAAAATGACCACCTATAAAGTACCCCCCCAGATGTTCCGACACTGCCCGCCCACACACACACACACACACACACACACACACACACACACACACACACACACACACACACACACACACACACACACACACACACACACACACACACACACACACACACACACACACACACACACACACACACACACACACACACACACACACACACACACACACACACACACACACACACACACACACACACACACACACACACACACACACACACACACACACACACACACACACACACACACACACACACACACACACACACACACACACACACACACACACACACACACACACACACACACACACACACACACACACACACACACACACACACACACACACACACACACACACACACACACACACACACACACACACACACACACACACACACACACACACACACACACACACACACACACACACACACACACACACACACACACACACACACACACACACACACACACACACACACACACACACACACACACACACACACACACACACACACACACACACACACACACACACACACACACACACACACACACACACACACACACACACACACACACACACACACACACACACACACACACACACACACACACACACACACACACACACACACACACACACACACACACACACACACACACACACACACACACACACACACACACACACACACACACACACACACACACACACACACACACACACACACACACACACACACACACACAGACATCATCGCGAAAATAGTCAAAACGGATTCAGGGGACCTCAAAACGTAAAAATCCGTCGAAAACTCGAGGTCGAAAAAAATCATGATTCCTATACTTTCCTTATATCTGTATACAGATAGGAAAGTAAAAATGATTCCAAACGATTTATTTGATATTTGTTTCTGCAAATGTACGAACAAACTTTCTTGCAAAACTGTGACAAAACTCGGAAGATTCCAGATATAAAATCGTCTTTTATAAAAGATCAAATAAGTAAAAGGAAAATGGCAATCGGTAACATAGATAAAAAAAGTGACGGCAAATTAAAAAAAAAGGTTTGAAAGAAAACTGAAAGATTCCCAAGCAAGCTCTACCAATAATACTGAATTCGAAATATGTTGCCAACAGCCTGTAGAATTCAGCATAGCAGCAGAGCTACTGAAAATTCTACGATATTCAATAAAAGTAATACTGATACTTCTACGAGCCCAGGTACATATACTGACGAAGATTTTGTAGTAAAAAAGTGACCTAAACCAAAGAATCAAAAGAGTATGTCTTCAGTCGCCGACCTGAGAGATGTTTCTAGTCACACTGCACGTTATTATAACGAAGAAGCACATTGCCCTTGTCGAAGAACTTTATGTTTCGGGCATTTAGCACTCACGCAGTCACGAGCGATAGATATTACCGATGCAATTATAAGCAAAATAAAATACCAAGGAATAGAATTATCACAACTGAAGGTTATTATATGCGATGGAACAATTATCAATACGGGTTGGAAAGGCGGAGTCATTCGACAGTTGGAAAATCAATTAGGTAAATCACTTCAATCGAGTATACGCCTTTTAAAAACAAATGAGCTACCATTGGGGCATTTACTGCTAAAACTAGATGTTGGAACTAAAAGCCCATGCACTCATTTAGGATCAATTGTTCCCTTCTACCTGCTTGTGAAAAAATGCTCGCAGTTCAATTATTTAAAACAATTCGAACGGATTTGCGACAGTTAAATGAAAATGATCTAAGTACCGATCAAAAATACTTATTCCAAATATGTAAAGCAATTGATGAAGGAATATCATCAACAAGTTCAGCAGAAAAAAATTCCGGTAAGATGGTACACTCTCGATGGATTACGACGGCAAATCGAATTTTAAGATTATATCAGAAACCTTTCAAATGCTTGTTAAAGGACCCCGCACTTTTTACATTGATTTTGGGTGCTGACAGAATTTGTTAAAATTTTGGTATGTTACTTTTCAGGTCATAATGGGCAACTTACTTATGGACATCAAGTTTGCAGTTCTACAGGGTGAGCTGTCGGAAGGAGTCAAAAGTAAGGAATGCAGAATTAATATTTTCATATATATCTTTACCACTCTTAAGTAATTCATGTTTATTTCATGAAACTTATGGTATGAGTTACACTTGTATATGGCCTAATAATGCTCACTTTCACTTTGTAAAATAAATCATACAGAGTGTTCAAAAAATAGGAATATTAATTATTGAAATAAGGTGCATTTTCATGTATTATCATAATTATAACATGACTTCTGATCACTTATTTAATATATTAAATACTAGATAATATTAATTAATAATACAGGGTGTGACAGTAATACAAATAATATTTAATACAAAAATGTTACAGTTTCTTTATATAGATTTTTAGGCTTCCACTAAATTATAAATCCATATAAAAGAAACTACATTTTTAAAAACCTGTTTTATTAAATACATTAACTATTTACACACCTTCAAAATCTGATTCATCTTTCAACAGCATCTAAAATGGTCCTTAATAAAACACTTAAAGGGTACTTTATGTAATTTTCAAATCGTGCCTATTTCAGGTACCACAAAATACTTGAAATATGAGCATACATGCATATAGTTCTTGAACCAGGCTTACATGTACAGTAATATCTAGTAATGTTATTCTCTTGAATTTAATTTTATAAAGTGTGCAAATTATACGCAAATCTCGAATGTATTGCAAAAAAAAGAAGGAACGACACATAGAAAGTTTCCTGACAAAAATAAACTACCTACTATCAAAAAATTCCTAATAACAAACTTTTGAAATTGTTCTTAATGACAGCCCAAAAAAAGAGGAAGAAAATATACAATGTAAAATAGAATTGCTACGTTTGAATATACACATCTGCTTCAACTTATTTACGTAGGTACCTTGAATCACGTGATAAAATATTCACAACTTCTCAGATGCATCTGATATGGATAACCAAACGCAGCAAATGTAGTCTAAAATTGCAAAGATAAAAACTTTTAACCCTATCATGATAATTTAGCTGTTATTTCATCTAACAGTCG